ATAGATATAAAGAAAAATGTAAACACTATACAAGGATACCGGAAATTCACAGTGATATTGCACATGGGAAGTGGAAATATACATTGGATGTAACAATTCAAAAAGTATTGCACAGCACACCTGAAGATTGAATATGAATATTGTACATAGGTAGATTCAGATTACTGTCCATGTTCGTGCATGAGAGGAATTATTATTACACTGTTTTTAAATGTTTGTTAAAAAGTCTTATGGCTGTTGGGATGAAGGACCTTTGAAACCGCTCTGACTCTTTTTACCAGCTTGTTGAGCCTTTTTCTGTCAGCTGCCCCCCAACACACCACAGCATAGAACACTACGGAGGCCACCACAGAGTCAAAAAAGTCCTCAGCAGAGTCCTGCACACTCTGAAGGACCTCAGTCCAACAATAGTTGTGTCGTTGGAGAACGTCTGGATGTAGCAGTACTCCGAGTTGTACCTGAAGTCTGAGGTATACAGGGTGAACAGGAAAGGGGAAAGAATAGTTCCCTGAGGGGCCCCTGTGCTGCAGACAACAACATCAGACACATGGTCATGAAGCCTCACATACTCTGGCCTTTCTGTGAGGTAGTCAGTGGTCCATGCATCCAGATTGTGGTCCACTCCTGCTCTTCTCAGTTTCCCCCTTAGAAGTCAAAGAACATGACTCTCACAGTGCTCCCAGGGTTGTCCAGGTGAGAGAGGGATCTGTGCAGCCGTTATAGGACTGCATCGTCTACCCCGATGCCCGGACAATACACAAACTGCTGGGGATCCAGTTCGGAGCTCGTAAGGGTCTGTAGGTGGTTCAGCACAATCCTCTCCATGGTTTTCATCATGTGAGAGGTCAAGACAACTGATCTGTAGTGGTTAGGCTCCCTTGGATCAATCTTTCGGGACCACACAGGAAGTTTTCCACTGGATGGGTACCCTCTCCAGAGAGAGGCTCAGGCTGAAGATGTGCAGCAACACCTCACAGAGCTGGTGTGCACAGTCCCTGAGCTGTCTGGGGCTGATGCCATCTGGGCCAGCTGCCTTTCTTGCCTTGATCCTCCTAAGCTCCCTCCTCACCTGATTTGTTGTGATGTGGAGTGTAGGAGGCAAAGTTGACTGATGAGGGTGAAGGGTGGAAGTAAGAGGAGCTGTTGGTGAAGAAGGAGGGGGAGGGGGAGTTGTGCAACAGGTCACTGCCGTGCAGGGTAGAGGAGGGGATGGGTGTGGAGTCAAATCTATTGAAGAACATATTTAGATGGTTAGGCCACTCCCTGTTTCCTGTTTCGAGGCCTTTCTAACTGTCCTTGCTGTGGCCGGACATTGTTTTAAGGCCTCTCCACACCTCTCTGGCATTGTTTTGTTGGATACGTTCCTCCAACTTCTTCCTGTAGCTGACCTTTCCCCTCCTGATCTCCACTTTCAGCTCCTTCTGGACCCTCTTCAGCTTTTCCTTGTCTCCTGATCCAAAAGCCTGCTTCTTCTTGTTAAGCAGTGCTTTAAAAGCAGGAGTCATCCAGGGTTTGCTGCTGGAGGTAGTATGGCCGCATGCTAACCGCTAGCAGCTCAATGTATCTAGACTGTCTCCACCCCCCCCTCCTCTTACCGCTCTCAGCCACTCTCCTGTCCGCCCTCAGAAGTTGACAATTGTCCAGCATAATCACTGAGTCCGGAGTGTTATCATTCAGCCATCTCTCTGTGAAACACATGATGCTCGCCGCCCGGTACTCTCTCTTCTGGCTGGAAAGTGACGCTAGTTCAGTCATCTTATTGGGGAGCGATCTTACGTTTCCCATGATGACAGAAGGTAAGCATGTTTATACCTCCTTTTCTTATCCCGGCACTTAACTCCAGCTCTGCAGCCCCTCTTCCTTCTTCTGATCTCAGAGGGGATCTCTGGTCTTTCCATGGGGAGTAGCCTGGGTACGCTCAGCGCCAACAGCTGGTCGCAAGTGTAAACAATGGAGCCCCAACTGATCGGGTCTCCCGAGTCTGGTTATTATTAAAATAAATAATAACCGGATGCTCCTGCATCCACAGGAGCATAAACTCTGCTGAGGTTAGGCTTAAAAACAAAGCAAAAAACTAACAAAAGAAGACAATAATACACAGGGGAGATCGGAGCCACTGTAACAGGCTGCCACTCATTTGGCGCCATCTTACAATACATCATTTGCTCCACTGAGATGGTGATCGGCTGCAACTCGCCTTCTTTCCAGGACCTGTACATCTCCAGGACTCTGAGGCATGCAGGTAAGATGGTGGCCGACCCCTCCCACTCTTGACATGAACTCTCAGATCCACTTTCCTCTGGAAGGAGGCTGCGCGAAACCAAGACCAAGATACCTAACCACTCGCTACCCTATCACTGGACTGCACTGAATTTGACACTTTAATTTCCCATGGCAAGTAACAGACTAACTGTACTTGTACTTTATATTTACTTTATACTTGCACAAATACACCACAGCAACTTACACCTGTAAGTGTAAACCTGCTTGGCAATAAAATCAAATTCTGATTCTGACAAAGTTCATAGTCTTGCATCTTTGCAAGATATATCTGCAATCAGATGACAGCAACTTTAATTCCATGACCAGCAAGTGACTATGCTTGGCAAGTATAGACTGAGCTTTCCTTGTGGCTCTGTATAAGAGTAAAAGGTCGTTATCCTGCAATTTTGCTTCACATCTGTCCCACTCTCTTCTTGTTTTTCAAGGTTAATGACCCAAACCAGTAGATAAAAGAGAAGCTTAAAACAGACTCAATAAAACAAAAATAAAATTTATGATAAAAGTACAAATGCTGGGAGGCCTTTGCATATGGTCTGTATTTATGTAGTGGTTGAAGTCTTGATGACCACTCAATGCATTATGTTACATTTTTGCCATTCACCTGTTCTCACACACATTAATACAGCACATCAATGGGCAGAACTTTTTCAATGAGGGGCCATTCTGTATCAGTATCTTGCCCAATGACACTTCGGCATGCATATGGGGAAGACTGGGATTTAACCACTGATCTTCTGGTTGTCAATTATTATTCCCAGATTAGGTACAACTTCAACAGCGTAGCCTTGAATAAAAACAGAAGGAATAGAAGTCTATTATTATTTCTTTAGTTTTGGACACATTAATATTCAAGAAAGTGCTTTAACACCATTAAAATCATCCACCAAGCAGGCTGTGATCCGTGTCATTGTCACTGAGTAGGGACACAGTCACAGAGTCATTCGCACACTTGATGACAATGTCTGTGTACACTGAAGTCAGCTGATTGGCACAGTGCTTCAGGGTGGATAGGGAAACAGAGTCAGGTCTGGCTGCTTTGGGGGGCTCTGGCAATTAACATCACAGTCAATGCAGCCCAAACACGCTTGAATGTCCTCAACAACCTCCCTGGTCCACTTCTTAGATGTCCTCGCAACAGGTTTGGAGAGCTTTAGTTTCTGTTTGTATTCAGGAATCAGGTGGACCATGACGTGGTCATAGTGTCTGTCACCACCCGTGACAAAAGAGAGGGAGATGCTGGTTGAATGCCCAAAACAGTAATTTATTTAAATACAATTATCTGAGACAACGAACAAAGCACAAGTTAAGAAGGCAATGAGGTGTGCTCATCAGTGGGATCAGTAGTTAGGATTTGTGGATGCATGCATGAAGCATGTGTGTGGTGCAGGGATGATGTTGGATGGTTAAGAACAAAGCAGCAATGAAGCATAAAAGTCAGTTAAGTGAGAGTGAGCGTCCAACTACTCTCCAACCTCCCTTTCCTGTCTAATATCCTCAAGAAGGTTGTAGCCAATCAGCTGTGTGAGTTTCTCCAGGAAAGTAATGTATATGGAGACTTCAATCAGGGTTTAGAGGTCATCACAGCCTTGGCAAAAGTCACGAATGACCTTCTAATAGACTCAGATCAAGGGTTTGTGTCTGTCCTTGTCCTGTTAGACCTTAGTGCAGCATTTGACACTATTGATCATAAAATTCTATTACAGAGACTAGAACAGTTAATTGGCATTGAAGGAACCGCCCTAAACGCGCTCAAATCCTATTTTGAGATCAATTCCAATGTGTGCAAATTAATGATGAGCCATCTATGTGCACCAAAGTTAACCACGGTGTTCTAAAGTGCTCAGCCCAATATTATTCTCATTATCATTCATATCCTGTTTCAAAAAGATGCAGAAACACTAGTCCATGCCTTTGTCACATCCAGACTTGATTATTGTAAGTCCTTATTATCAGGCTCCAGCAGTAAGTCGTTAAAGACCCTGCAGCACATGTCCTGACAATAACCAGGAAAAGAGACCAAATATCTCCTGTATTATCTTCACTACACTAGCTTCCAGTTAAATTGAGAATAGAATTTAAATTCTCCTCCTCACCTACAAGGCCCTTAATAATATGGCACCATCATACCTTAAAGTACATAAAGTACCATATCACCCTACTAGAACACTGCACTCCCAGAATGCAGACTTGTTGTCCCAAAAGTATTGAAAAGTAGAGTAGGAGCCAGACCTTTCAGCTATCAGGCTCCTCTCCTGTGGAGTCATCTCCCAGTTTCAGTTTGGGAGGCAGACAACCTCTGTATGTTTAAGAGTAGGCTTAAAACCTTCCTTTATGATAAAGCTTATAGTTAGAGCTGGTCCAGGGTTGTCTTTAACCCGCTCTTAGTTAAGCTACTATAGGTCTAGAATGTTGAGGGACACATGACACATGGAGCTTCTCTTTCCTCTTCTCCCTCCTTATCACATCAAATAACTTAATGTCTCATCAATACATGTTACTAACTTGACTTCTTCCCTGGAGTCCCTGTGCCTTATCGTTCGCAGATCCAGGGCTGCGACTGCGGCCACATCGTGGATTGT